GCATGTCCCTGGTAAAATGTCAAGTCAATTTAAAGATGATACGGCACTCTTCTGACATTTCCGTCCAGGATGTGACCGCATTAAAGGGAATAAGAGAAGACAGACTAGCTGACAGGCCTGTTACAGAAAATAAAATGAAATAAAATTCAGCCTTTTAGTACCGTGTCCGGTCAGTAGCAGACACGGTACTGTCACGTCTCCTGTTACTGGTGGCAAGGCAGCATAAGCGGAGCAGAAACCCTCATTTTGCTAGGCAGAAAACATGTACATTCAGGAGAGCAAGGGCAGAGACAGCCAGGCAGAGGACCTGTCCCCTCTCGGGCGACACGGGCTGGCTGGGGGTAGAGCACCAAAGGGGCCAGGGCTTGCATGGGGCTCATACGATGCCGGCCAGCGTGGCGGGCCACCATCTGAACCCATGGTCTTTTTGGTTTCGGCAGAGCAGTGGGAGCAAACGCCGCTGCCTGCACAGTGTGGTTTTGGCTTCTGCATGAAACTCGGGGCAGGTATGACGTTCACAAGGTTGGGATTTAAATAAAACCCAAATCCTCGCAGATCTTTATGGAGAAATGTCAAAAGGCGTAGCCAGAGCCGCAGCGCTCATTTCGGAATATTTTCGTTCTTGTCACATGCAACTTCCATACAGATTGTGATTATTTCTGTGAAACATCTGGTCTGCAAATCAAACTGTCTCTGGGGTGCATTGCAACACGCCTGTACACAAAAGCTTTCAGCGCAAGCTAGAATCACTTTACAGAGGATCATCATAGAGTATCATAATGCAAAGTACATTTTCATCCGTTCTTCCGAGGAGCATTTAGCAAGGGAGAGGCTTGCTGTGCTTTTGCGCTTGGCGTGTTTTTTGAGCAACTTTGCCCCTCGGACCGCTGTTGGCAGTGTTACTGGAATGTAAGCTCTCTGCTGATGTCCAGCAGGTGTTTGTTCAGTGGGAATGATGGGATTTTTGTAGTGCTTTTTACTAGTCTTAAGGACCTGAAACAAAGCTGAAATCCTGTTTCTAATACTGCATGCTGGTCCCTGTTGAAACAGCAGCATGAAGGAATTTATGCTCGCCCTGGTCAGTAGATGTGAAGTAGTCTGGAAAACCAGGAAGAATAAGAGCTCCACAAGTCAGATCGGCTTTTGTTTTCAGTCCAGAAAGCAATTTAAAAAGTGATATATTGAATGGATATCTGTACTTATTAATACCTCTTTAAATTTTAAAAAAAAAAGTGTATTTTGCCGTTATTTTGATGATGTGCTGTTGTAATTCTCTTTACAATAGCTGCGTGTTTCTAAGCTCCAGTGTATTGTGTTTCTGTAAGGCTGCAGCACTGCAGCTCGAGCATTCAAGTCGGTGAATTTAATTTTGCTGCTGGGGTTTTAATATTCTGCCATCGTGCTTGTTCTGTTTGAGGCTGTGGACTAATTATGGACCGGTTTAAAGGGCCCAGTCTGTCACACTCTGCAAACAGTTTGAAGTTGGACAGAATCCATTTGAAAAAATGAGGAGGCTTAGCAATGGAGCTCGTAACTCAAGTAAATGTTGCCCAGATGCCTTCACATAGTAATTTTATAAATATGTGTATATATGTGTCTGAGTGTGTGTGTGCACGCGCACTCTTGTGTAGCTACCTAAGGAAGTGGTGAGTGCCTAAAACTTGGGTGTTGTTCGAGTTTTCTTAGCTGGCAGATAGCACCATCTGTATTGCGAGACGATGTGCCTTAGTGTCTTCATTCGAGAGCTGGCCAAATTAAACTCTCTTCTTATGACAGATGCTAAAAAGAAATCACAAGTGAGAGAGAAGTGCAGCTTTACAGAGGGTAATGGTTCCTTTCTTGGATACCTTCTTTAATTATAAACCAGTCTTCTGGTGAATTTATGTACAAGTAGATTTCAAAAGACCGTTGCATTGCTTTACTTTTCCCCATACAGCACATTTTGTTGTGTTACTGATTAGAATCAGGAAGAGAAGCCTTTATCTTAAGATGGAAACTACCACGTTGAGCCTCTTTGTTTATGTGCTTTCTACCTCCTCTGCTTTCCCGCGTCCTGTAAACAGCTCTCTTTTCAGCGCGAACTTACGGTTTTAAATGATAAACATCAGCTTTGTGGGATTGGGTGATCTTTAAGGTCCCTTCCAACCCAAACCATTCTATGATTCTATGACAGCGTGACTGCTCTTCATCCCTATGGCTCAGGACCCAGAATGGTGATTTTTGGTGATGGCAAAGCCTTTCATTGGCTTCATTCAACCTTAGTTAAGCCAGAAGCATATCAAGGACTTTCTTGTTGGTCCCTATTTGAGGAGAAGAGATGATTTTCCTTCTACGACGTGGGGCAGAAGCCTAATCTCCAGGGTGCCATATGTTTGGTCTGGTGTATAAACGTGGCTATTCTTGGAGGTACAATAGAAGTCAATGGCACATACCTGGAATACAGGAAAGCACGTTTAAAGTTAGCCAGTCCGTCTTAAAATTAGAGGTTGTCTTAGCAGCATCATTGCAGGGCCGGGGCTGTTCCTTTCTACGTCAGGCAGAACAGCAGTGGAGTCTGGTGTACGCAGTTTTATGTGGATTCATTAATTTTGTACCGAAGCAGCAGTGACAATTTTTCTCTCCTTTGCCATGCAACCGCTGTAGTAGTGTGCCTGTGTCGAGGGGCATTCGTTGCTTTACTTTAATGTGAGATTATTCCTCTTCGGAGCACTGTGTGTATACAATCCTTCTTCTCAAAGAAGACTCTGGGATTGAAAAGGACTTCCAGAAAACTCATTCTAAACTTTAACTGGTCTGTGTTTCCTATTGCAACCATCCAAACCATTTGCTAATCATAACTTTGTCATTCCAGCTGCAGCCAACATGTTGTTTGACGTGGATATTTGTTCGCACTTACAACCGCTTGAGAACTTTATTTTTTGTAACCTGTTGGTCTCTGTCCCCAGACGGGGAAGCGAGATGCACTGTCCAGTTTGCACTGTTTCTTGACTAATATCTCTTCCAGCACGTGAATACAAGTTTGCTTTCAGCAGATTCTCTATTTAGTGTCAAAGCTGACGTAACTTTTTTTGTTTCAGGAAGACAGTAAATTGAAACTATTTATAGATGCCAAGATGCTATCTCAGGAATTAATACTCAGTCTTACAACCCTCTCTAAACAACGACTTTCCCCCCACCTTCACCACCATTTTCCCCTTCACCATTTGCTTGGTTAAAACGAGGCATCGTTTGGGGATCGCTGCCCGAAAACAAAGAAAAGCCCCGCTTTCGTTCTCCCTTTTGCTTTGGAAGGCTTCCCTTGCAGCCTCTACCAGAGCTCCCAGCAGGAGAACAAGTGTGAGCGCCTTTAAGCATGCGTTAGATTTGATTGCCAAGATGAGAACAGTCGATGTTGGCAGTGGCAACAGGCTAATGACGGCTTGATAATCTGTTACACCAATCTCGGTGCAGTTTGTTAAATTGTGTAGGGTTTATTTGTTTTGCTTTCATAATTAAAGCATGTAGACCTTGTATCTGTAAGTATTGTGTATTCCTTGTATGATTCTTGTCTTCACTGATGCTTCAGAAATTCAGGCCTGGGCTGTCCTCAGCTAAATTGCAAAGGAGCGGGTCCTCCTTTTTCCACTGCTGTCTCTGAATATGCAGGAGGACTACCTGTCCTAGGGTTCTCCGGACAGCATGTTAATGAGGGGAAACGCCAATGTCAATTGTCTGTCATTGCCACAAAACTCAAGCTCCAGGCTGGTTTGCAGAAATACGCAGAGTAAAGCACTTCTCTACACTCACTCATACAATTTTATTCATTTAAACATTGCCTGCATCGAACCAAGGAGGGTTGTGCAAAACCTGGGCTTTGCTGTTGGCTCGAGGGGGTCGGCAGGGATTTGCAGAGTTACAGTTATGTGGTGAGGAGCCAGCCTGCTAAAGCAAACAACCAATGTCACCAAATACATAGAACCAGTTGAAAAGTAAATGTGTTTCAATTGCTAAATAAGCCAGTAATTTGCGTAGTGTGAATAAATACAATTTAGAGCGGTTGGCTTAGAGGAAGTAACACAGGACACTGTCAGAAAAAGCCTTCAGATTTGGGTCAGTCTTTACAACTGCCTGTTGCAAACACCTGTGAAGAGAGGAAGCATCTCTCCGTCGGCAAGGCACCAACCGCCAAGAAATTTTCAGCGGTACATGATACATATGGAGTAAAGTCAGCTTCAGACTGACGACCAAAAATGTCCAGTGTATTTTAATTGCCCGTAAGCATTAGCCAGTTAACTGTTGCGGTGGAGGGACTGGTAATGTCTGTCTGCATTTGCCAATTCTAGAACAAGGTTTTTTACGCTGAAAGAACCGTGCATCTTACAGGTGCGTGGTTCAGTGTAGCTGAGGCAGAGGGCCACTCATGCCTTCAGTGCTAGGTGTGAGGTTTCTAGCAGTCTCCTCAATTTTAGCATTTGTCTGCTGCCTCTGAAATGGTCTGGGTTCAGAGGCTGTGCTGTCTACTGACGTGCTGGGAGGTTCCCTGCATTGAATGAAGGAGGAGAAGAGGTGGGAATGAATTGGGCCCTGGCCCCTAGCGCTTTGGTGAAGGCAATGTTTGAATGCATAAAAACGTTTGCCAACACTTTTCCAAGTGTTGGCTCTTTGTCCTGGTCTTGAGCTTCTGTTTTGGTCCCTGCCAACTAAAGCGTTGGTGTCGGTGTTCTCCCCTGTCTCCTGTTCCCCTGACTTTGCAACCACCAGTAATTGTTCTGGCAAGGTCCTGGAAAAAGAAAAATTTACTGTTTTCCTCAGGCTCATAGCTTTTGAACTGGAGGCATGTCTTCTAAACAGTGCAACTCACTTCAAATGCTTTTTGCCTTTCATTTGATTATTGCTTGTCACGCAATGTTCTTTGAAAGCTTGCTCATATATTATCTGTTCCATTTTTTCCATTTTCCCTTTTTTTGCATGCTGTTCCTCCTGTTTCTTCCCTTCCTCCAATCCTCTGTTCCCGTGTGTAGACACAACGGCGACGACAGAACCGGCAGTTCACGGTTGGTATCACATTCCTGTTTATCTTATTTCTCAGCGCTGCTGAGTGGCAAGACAAGCCTGGGAAGGGGAAGCAAAAAAGGGAAATGTAGTCTTCAAGGGAAAAACATGTTTCAGGTGGACTGGTCTCATAAATATAACATCATTTTTAAGGCTGGAAAGTCTGTCTGGTCTTGTCATTTCTGTTGTGAGCTCCACAGCTGGTTGTTCCAGTGCCAGGCAAGCACCGATCCCCCAAGGCCCGTGGAAACATGTACAAGCAGTGCCGAGGAAGCGAGCGATTCTCCACTCATCTTGATTACCGGGGTAATCGCTTCACGCATGAAAAAGAAATCCGGCTTTTGAAAACAGGAATTCAAATTTAATTTTTTTGAGCTGCTTGAAATCTTGAGCGTTTTTCTTTCATTTTAAGTTTATAAGACAGCACGTCCAGCAGGTCCGCCGGTGTGGGGCAGCGTTTGGTATTCCGGGGATGCTCCACAGAGGAGCACTCGCCCTGGAGGTCAGCAGTGAAGTTGGCGTTATTACACTGCAGAAGGAGATTTGGAAAACAAATAGCAACACTTTCCTATCAGCATAGCAGTCTAGCAAACTAACCCTTCTCATCTGCTCAAGGCAGCCTAGCTAACAGCTTGACAGCTTCCTTAGCTTCCTACATTTTCGAAGCAAGCCCAAATAGTCACTTCAGGCTGGAAGTTGAGCATACCGGGTTTTGGCACCAGCTCACTTCTCAGCTAAAGAACCAAAACCTCTGACAATTTTCATTAAGGCTAATCCATATTTGAGTTCGCTATTTTAGTTTCTTTTAATGCTGAGAAATCAACTGTTTCTTTTGTTGACAGAAATCCGTAATGCACAACCACCTCTTTTTCCTGCCTCCTCCCAATGAGGCCTATGTTGGGCAGTGATGGAGGGAGGACTGAGTAAAGTGACGGTTAGGCAGTGCTGCCCTGTATCAAGTGGAGGGACATGCAGTTCTTGTCCCAAATAACTTACATACTTGGATGTGTTTCCCCACTTGACATAACCATTGGAAGCCTTCAGGCATACTGCTGTTTTCTATACATTGCCGATCCCCCTACGTCTGTTTAATATCAAGATTCAACATCGGTAATTTTGTAGTTACTGCAACGGAAGTCATGGCAAGGTAATAAAAGTCCAAGAGACGTCTCATCCTGCACTACGGTAACACTCATGAAAGTCAGGTGAAGGCAAAATGTTAATCACCCTGTTGTTAAGCTGTGGGGAAAGCCTCGAAGAGCTGACTCTGAAGATGGTAGCACAGTTTAATTCCCTGCAGGTCTGCTCAGTTGCGCTCACTCAGGTGGTAAGGGTCCGACTGCTCCTTCAAAGTACCAGCCTGGCGCTTCGCTTTCTTAGAAGTGGTCTGAGAGCGGTCAGGAAAGTCAGGAGAGATGCGGGGCTCAGCCTGAAAGGAAGCCAGGCGCCATCCCCCTTCCACTCTCTTAGCCCCGTGATTCTGGTCGTAGCGAGCACTTTGCACCACGCAGCTGTGGTTGCAAGGTGTCCCACTTTAGCAGCACTTTGAGACAGAGTAGAGGGAGAGTCTTCAGCACTACTCCAATTTGGCCAAAATACTCTGCCTTTAGTATTAGAATTTGCCGAGAAAAGGTAGATGTATTCAGGCAAAAGAATAGTGGCCTCTGCGGTATCAGAAAATAGTACCATCTTTTCCCGTTTTTCTCAGACAGCCCTAGAAATGCACAGGTACGGATGTTGATCCCTAAATTTGGGAAAGATCAGGCAGCCATGGCACTGACATGACTTCTGACGTCACTTCTAGATGTCTTGGTGAGCCTTATCTGATGCCCAGCTTGGGTTAATCTCTGATGTGAAGGTAAGCTGGGAAGGCTCAGCACCATCACTGAAGGCAGAGCTGTGGCGCAGCATGGGTGATGCAGAAGGGGATGCGCAGCCCCTTTCTTTAATGCAATTCCCGATGGCTTTCATCATTTTTACTTGTATTGGGGAAAGCCACAAAAAGCATGTTTTTAACTCGAGGACTACCTCCCTCCGTGGGGGAGGACTGCTGCTGCGAGGAGATTGACAGCTGAAATGACAAGCCATCGCAGTCAGACGAGCTGCCGCAAACTTTCCTGCCTTAAAACCCAGCTGGTTTGTTCTGAAGTCCCCTGCGCTTGCCCTTGTGGGGTGCTTTTCCTGTGAAGACTCTGGGGTTTCTTTCCAAGCTTGTGTTGCTGGAGTGTGTATGGAGTATACCAGGTGTTTCTGTATGTTGGCCATTTGTTTTTACCAATGTCCAATGGGAGTGAGCATGTCTGTGAATGACTAGAAATGCATGGGCATGAACTACAGCCAAATGGATTTTCTCCAAAAACAATTTTAAATGAATTGGGGGAAGGAAAAAAAACCAAACAAACAAAAAAAACCAACAAAAAAAAACCAAAAAGAGATTGATAGCAAAGAAAACAAAATGTAAGGCTAGTGTGGAACCAGCACAATACTTCAATCGGGGAAAGGATTTTTGAGTCATTTAATTTTTTGGAGTGTATCCTAGAGGACTGAGGGGGGGGGGAAGGAGTCCTGTATGTGTGTGCATGTCAAAGCGGTAGCAAAGCCCCTGCCATTCCTGTTTCCTTCTGGAATGGAGTTGACGGCAGCGATGCATGAGTGACTTAAAGCACGAACATTGTTAACTCTTTTGTTGAAAAATGAGAGCTTAACTGTAAATTTTCTGATGCCCTTTCTCCTTTCTCTGCACTGTTCATTGCCAGAACTCCAATAACAGCATGGTCATGGCCGGCAGGAAGGCTTGTGCTTCTGCTGCACCGCACTAAGCCGGGTTTACCGAGCTTAAGCCCTCCTTCCCTCTCATTTTGCCCTTCATGGTGTCAGGGTGCCAGCGGGGCTGAAATCACAGTTCCCTGCCTATTTGCAGCTGAAATACGGGCAGACCTTGGTGGAGCCAGGAGAGTAATGTCTCTGAGAGTCTGCCACTGCTCAACCTGGAAAGAAAGCACTTTTTCTGCAATGCCCTTCCTTTTCTTCTTTCCTGCCCCTCTCCCCCTCAAAATTGACGTACCAAGTTTTTAATTTCCCAGCTGCCACTACTCCTCGGCCAGCTGGGGAGCTCAGCCTTTGTAGGGCTGCTACCCCTGGGGGAACCCTTTGGGTGAGATGCCTGGCTCGCATTTTGCCCCCTGCACAAGCAGGACATGTATAAGCAGCCATGACCTTATACATGACGGTCTTCTGCTACAGCAAAAGCCATGACTTAATTTCACCACTTCTTCTCAAATTTTGACCCCGCCCTGTTGTAAGCAAAGAGCATTAAATAGCTCCCAAATGCTTTTTCAAGACCACGGGCAATGCCCCTTGCGAGGAGTGACGCTTGCTGCGTAGCTGTCTTTGGGCAGCCCTGTATGTATGTACATGCGCTCGGCGATGGGGAAGCTCAGAGCTGCTTTTCAGCTCCCCCACCGAGGCAGAAAGAAGGCGCTGCTGCCTCAGCACAGGCAGAATTCCTGCTTGTCCTCATGAAAAGGTAGGGTGAAAAAAATCTCTTCTGAAGCTGGCAAAGCAGGAAGTCTGGAGTGAAGGTTAAAATAAGGAAAACATCCCAGTCGTGAATGAAGAGTGACAAGAAAATGCCTTGCCCGTAATATAGCAGGTAAATTATTTTATAAGCTGGAAATTCTTCCCTGAAGGCCCATATGAATTTTTAATTGCAGCCTTAGCAGGGTTTTGTACGAGAACATTTAACACTACCATGTTAAGCTCTTGTTGCTTTTTCCGATAGCGCTCAGTCTCCGAAAAGGAGTTTTACTTGACTGAAGCAAAAAGCTGAGCCGTGCCAGAGCACTCCTCGGCTTGCAGATCTCGCCAAATGCGACAGCGTAGAAGGAAAAAGCCTCAGTACTTTCTGCACTGAAATTATCAAGCAGCTTTGCCTGTCCCACTGCCTTTTTTTCTTTTGAAAATGCCCTACTTAAAAATGCACCTAGTAGTAGAAACATTCCTAAATATATTTTACAGATCCAGTCCTTGGGGCAGTTGAATAAAACATCACAAAGCTCTCTGCACCTGTCTCTGTGCAGCGCCGCAGAGTACGCAGCATAAGGCCAAATCCCTAATTGGTTATTTACAGCTTGATAGGAAAGAGAAATTGTCTTTTCCTTAAAAAATGGAGGTAGCTCCGGAAGCAGTACAAAGCAGCGCTCCGGTGATAGAAATCTCTCACTAACCAGTGTGCTGGTGTCGTTGTTTAACCCACTTGGGTCAGGCTGCAGGAGAGGTGGCTCGGCTTGCTGGGTGCACCCTCTCAAGATTTATTATTTGCCAGGGAAATGATAGGCGAGTGAAAAGTTAGCTTTCATTTATTGAACGGGACTTGCGGCAGACTGAATTCATTCTGATCAGAAGTGAAAAGAAGGGGCTTTAATAGCTGATATGAAAGTTTAATGAGAAAAATCAAGAAGTAATCTATCATGTATTTAAAATGCCTCACAACAGGTTTTAATACTGTTCGGTGGCATTTCGAAGTATACCAGATGCAGGTAGACACGGAGTTGTCGAATTGTTAAATTTTCTTTTGAAAAAGACTTTTTTTGCTTCATAAAAAATGCAACGTTGCCCTTTTTCATTATTGAGAAAATGTAGTTCCTCTTAAGTGAAAGGGAAGGCTCTACAGAAGCAATTTCAGAGAGATAAAAGTTGAATGGCTCCTCTTCCGAGCCCAGGTTTGCATGTCCAATGCTTCTGTGAGTCAACTGTAATTATATTGATATATTGTATTATAGGAAAAAAGGGGGAATCCCTGAAATCCGAGAGCGGCGCACAAACAAAAGTCTTGCCACTAATCTAAAGGGCTTCCCGCTTCAGAAGATAATTCCGACTGTAGCTTCCAGGTGACTTGATATATTTAAAAAACAGTCACTGAAAATTACTTTTATTTTGAAGGAGCGGCATTATAGATATATACATATGTGTTGCTCGCTGCTTTCCAATGGGGGACAGCCTGTACATCGACTATACTGCATTACCATCTTTGCTGTTTAAAAGAAAGTCAGCATTTTTACCAGCCTGCGAGCTTACAATGCCAGGTTTCCAAATGACCGGTGATGGTGGTGTATCTTCATGGGATTTTTTTTTTTTTCCCCTTCGATAATGCACTTGCTTTAGCAGCCAGCAGCAAGAGTAAGTTATCGCAAGTACCAGCCTTGAATAGCAATGCTGTACTATCCCTCATTTAAATAGCTCAATCTCTGTGACCTCCAGACACCGTTTTGCCCTGTAGCCTGTGCTGAGAAGTTCACTCAACTAGACGCATTGCCCTCCTTTGGACCCCTCAATGTTTTCTCAAACTCTCAAACAAAATAGGAAATAACAGCTTGACACACAGCATTGGCTGCCTTCTGTGGCCACGAGAACATGTCTCGCCTAACTGCTTTATCAGCTTTGAGGATAGATACTTTTTCCATAAAGGCATCAAACTTGGGAAAATTAGAAAAACAGTTTTTGTCTGATTTTTTTGCAGAAGATACAGCCCGCAGTCTGCACGTACAGATGCCTTACAGTTTTGAAATGTGATCCGCAATATTCGCTACTTGATAAATTGCCGGGCTTGTCAACATGACCAAAAAACAGATTGAACTTTGGAAAATTGGAAGAAAATTTTACATTGCTCTGTGTATACAGAACCGAAATCAAACTGGGCTAAATTGGGAAGTTGCCCCCCGGTGACTAAAAGACAGAGTTTGGGGGTCTTTGCATGCTGTTATGAATGAGTGATTTTGATTCCATGTTTTGTGTGCCAACAGTGTAGACTGAGGAATGTTTCTGTCTGTAATAAAGGAAATCATTGCAATTCTGTCATACAAGTTACTCTGCCCAAACCGGCAGACGGGGGCAAGTGATTGACGCATTATTTTTTTCCCCCCAAGAAATTCATCCTCAGTTCTTAAGTGTGCTGTTTTTTGTCACTCGAGAAACGCAGAGAAAAATGAGTTTGTTTTTACTTGTAAGGCTTTACTCAGTTGCCCAATTCGGCAGAGGAGCTGGACTATGGGGATCTCTCAGGTAAGGGCTAGTACATAGGTAAACCGCTGCTCTTCTACGCTAGATACTGGTTCCACTCTGATTTCTGCATCTTGGCCATGTTGCATTGTATAGTTGCTGTGACGTAGCCATTCCTCCAGTGCACGGTCTCGCAGCTTGGCTGTCCGCTGTTTTCTGTTGGGATTTTCCTCCCTTTTTTTTGATTTGGGCACCCATTTCTGCGTGGCACCCTTGAAAGCGGGGCTGGAGGTGTGCAGAGCGGCAAGACTTCCCATTTCAGGTTGCCTCCCAGCTGCTGTGCTGTAACTTTTTGAACACTAATTTGGAGACCAGTTGAGTTGAAACTTTATGTTTGTAAAACGCTCAGCTCTGGTGTATTGTGCGAAACCGTCTTTAAAAAACACACCCAGTGCTAAATCTCGGCTGCTTGGTGATTTCTCATAATACAAGCATCAAACTGGGGCTAAAAAGGAGGTAACTGCTTTATCAGCCGAGTCAAAACCAAGTAAATGGTTTGAACCTCTTTTCATCCACACTGGACTGGAAGTTACATAAATACATCCTTAGAGCTGGTCCTTGCAAATTACCGCTAATCCAGATTAAGAAATAAAAGCATCTTCGGCAGATGCAGTTGGTATATTCAAAACAGGGGTCCTGTCAGCGGTACAAGCATCGTCTAAACCTCTGATCTTCATGTTTTGCCACAGTGTTTCGAAGCGTTTTCAGAAATTCACTGGATTTTTTTTTTGTCTCCCGCTTCTCGGAGCATCTCCGCAGGCTCATTTTGCCCGCTGCGAGCGGTCTCCGAGGCCAAGTGCCGGCCGGCTGTATCGCACGGTAAAGATGCCCAGAGCGGGCAGCGCAGCAGGGACGGGCCCCGGCGCTTGGCTGTGGGGCAGGACCACCGTCCTCTGCCACCTCCTTGGCAAGAGCCCTGCCCCAGAGGGTTGTGGTCCAGCGCTGTTCCCTTTGGGGGTTTGAATATGGAGCAAACACTAACACCAAAAAAGCAAACCCCCGAGTCCTCAGCTCGTTCCGTAAAACGCTTGCCTTTTACCCCATCAAATCGGCAGCATCTCTTCCTGTAAGCCACTATAGGTATGCTTTGGCCAAGAGGTTAGAAATGATTGATTAATTCAGTATGTGTTCTAACTCCTGAGCAATACTAATAATTGTTATTGCAGGCCTGGGCCAGATCTCATAGGTAAGAAGTACTAGGTGTCTGTTGAATATCACGATGTGGATGGGAAATAATTGTTTTGCTCTGACAAGCTTTATTGCTTTTTCAATTTGTATTTTTTAAAGAAAAATACACCTTCTGGTGAATGAAGAAGAGAACGGGAAACAATTCCACAAAGGAATTCCTCAAAATGGGTGTCTGCTAGCAGGCCTGCCTTTCCCTCCAGCGCCTCTGTCCCTGGGCGGTGCCAGCGGCGCAGCCACCTGCAGCACGCCACCAAGAAGCTGTGACCGTGTTGAATGGCTAGTGCCTTCTCCCAAGTATATAGCTCAATGTGGCCCTTTTTCTGAATCGCGAACGCAAATCCAAATTGCCCCCAAACTTTACAGAATGCAGTGCGAGCACAGCTGCTGCCCACAGCAAGCAGATGAGCATGCACCCTTTGTGTGCTACCATACACCCATTTTGGAGCATCCATTTTGACTACTGATTGGGGTTTTTTTCCCCCTAAGAATTTCAAATGTTTGCCTGTTGCTCTCTTGGTTACTTACGTACACCCAAAGGGTAATCATACCAAGTCAAATATGCCAGTGTCACTAGAGAAAGAGCCCCAGGCCATTGTCTCCTACAAACAAAACTCTGCCCTCCATCCCATCACCCATGCCCAGGCTCCCGGGAAACTCAAATAAGATCCCCTTTGCGGACTGGGCTCGTCACATTTGGCCTGTCAGATGGGTGGTCCAGGTGAGTGCTGGAGCTGAGCTCTCCATCGGGAACACTGCCCTCTGCTCCGGCGGGACTGGGCACTAGTTGCCCTCAGGAGCGACCCACGAGCACATGGGGATGCAGGGGTGCTTGCCCATGCCCCGGGCGGATCGTGGTATGCTGAACGCGTTGGTGCTCCCGCGGTGTTTGCTCAGTGTGCTGTTCCTTTCAGGTACTCCTGTCCCGCTAAATGCTTCAACGGAGGCTCTGCCAACTGTGCAATTAAGTAATGCATCCCTTGCCTTCCGTCCAGGTAGCTAGTTTCCAGAGCTGTGTTCGCTTTTCCTGGTTGAGCTGTGTGTGTCCGTGCCACTCGCAAACCTCCTCTGGTTCCTCGTGTACAGAGAGCCCAGGGCACAGAAAGGGTTGGCCATGTGCTCCTGCAGCGTGGGGTTTCGTGTTCTGCTGCAGTGCTTGTCCAGCCCGACACAGTCTTACAGATGGAATTCCTGCAGTGCTGGGGATCACTAGGGCAAACTCCTATAAATTTGTGAGCGTGCGTATGCACAAACATGCGGAGAGAGAGGGAGAGAGACGTATATACACACTGCTGTGTGCTCTGATGGTAGTAATCCGGTTACCCACATTCAGCACAGCTGTATCCCAGTCCCCTCTGGTGCAGTGCGGGCTTTCTGCTTTGCTCGAGAGCATTGGTACACCTCTTGTAGAATAGGGAACAATCAAGACGGCCCCATGTAGCCTTCACATGGGGTTTGATTAACTAATCAAAACCTGATTAGCACCTTTGTTCAGGGGGGATGCTGATGAATCAATTGCTATCGATTGCGAGTGGGGCTCCATTTTCTAGCAGAGAGGGGTCTGGAGAAAGAGCCAAGAAGCACTGAGCACCTGTTCCAGCCATGAAATTTATTAAAACAAAGCACATTATTTTTTATGAAGCGATCTTGAAACAGGTCACTGAAGGGGAGCCTATTGATTGAAGAAGGATGAACTTCTCGCATTTCTCTGGCTTAAATTAGACCAAATTCAATTACAATACGACAAACGGGTTAACGCTACTCTTTAACAGTCCATCAATAAAGTAGAGTAGGGGTAGCAGGCTTAATGCCGCGATATAGTAATGAATAATGTTATTGCTCATCCTGTCATACACAGGCAGTGATTTCTGTCCTCCCACATCGGGGATAAGTGTTTTATAGTGTTTCTGAAATAACGACAGCCCGTTCTTCCCCCAGCCCTGCCCACCAGCACCCCCCACCAACCCCAACTTCTAGTGCTGCTCCATCATTTGAAAAACTTCTTCCACAAAAGAATTAACTGCAAATTCCATGAGGAAACATTAGTGCTACCTTTCAGTTTCCCGCCTCATAGGAAAGAGGGATAGCTGGCTACCAGTTTTTCAGATGCACACACGTGACTTAAGGCCATTAGCACCTACAACGTGCCCAGAAAAGGTCGCCAAGTTAGGAATTCTTCAGAGAAATTGATGGAGGTTTTCTTTTCCCTGCCTTGAGGCAGATGTTATGCTAACCTCTGGGAAGCACAGTAGCTTCTGTCAATGGAGTTCGTGGGTATAAACTCACATATGCATACATGCAAATTCAGCCTGCGTTGTCCTCCATCAAGAGCTTGAAATTAATTTGCACCCAGCAATAGAAGATAAATTTTTGTGGGAGTGCAGCAATAAATCCAAATATGCCAAAAGTAACGTCTATGCTATGTTTTCACAAAAATCTCCATCAATTTTCTGCTTTTACAGCACAAATGTGCGTAGAACAAGTTTAGGGCTGTTCAGAGATACCCCAAACTGTTACAAAGCATTGGCTTAGAAAACGTAAAGCAGGAAGGAAGGTGAGGAGCAAGGAGAGGAGCCAGGAGCACCCACGCAGCAGGTGTTGGATCAAAACACGCACTTACCCAAGTCAAAATGGGATCAGCTACATTTCCAAAGGCTGCATTTGCTTCACGCCTCTGGTATTGGGAGATGGAGAGCCTTAATAGGCAACAGTGCTGGAGCACATCAGGAAGGTGGTGAGAGACACCCTTTGAAGTAGTAATGATCCCAGGACTAGTGCTAGAAGCGACGGAAAGGCTGGGTGCCAAGTTCAGCCCTGGGGCCGGGCAGCTCTGATGCAGGAGGTCACGGGAAGGAGCCGCGGCCTTCGGGCACTTGAGGATGCTTGTGCGTGCAGAGGGCTCCCTTCACAAAGGCCATCCCAAACCTGGCTTTTTGAGCTTTACGGGGCCCAATTCTGATAACTGGCTGACCACTGAAGTTAAAAGTGCTTTGACCCTGATAGGTCTGAAGCTTTTAGAGTGGGTATAGTTGAGATTTAAAATACTAGCTAGTACAGCCAGCCAGGTCCAACCTAGTCTTTCTCTTAATCTTGAGATGCTGTCACTTACAAAAAGAGTGGAAGCTAAAGTATACATAGAGATGGATAGATAGATTGATATGTGTGTATTTTGAGGCCTCGTTAAAACAGATTTGAGTGGAACATTTTTTTTGAGTAGTTGGGAGGAGAAAAGTCTTCCATCTGCTAAACCTTGCTGTAAGCGCTGACCCACATTGTTAGGATATTGCTATTAAAATCTGCCAGCTTTTTTCATACTCATGAGACAGTCCACAGAAAGCTATTTTTAAACAATTACATCTGCAAAAATGTTAGAAAGCTTGTGATCGTTAACACATTTATTTTTTAAAAAGCATCTCCCCCCGCAAAAAACCCTATAGCTAAGAACCTCCAGGTTTAAAATGCAGATGTTAGTTGACAATACTTCCATGGAAGATAACCAACTGAACATCTGCTACGTCTTACTCCTGACTCTCAGAATAAGTTCCGTTAGTGTGGTGACAAGTAGGAACCAGTCAAAAAAAATGCCTTTCTTTTCTGTCTACCTACCGTTTCATGAATTGCACTTTTTGTTTAAAGGAAAACTTCAGGGTTCACGTTCAAGTGGTATAATCTCTTTTTTGTCAATTAGGTGAGCAGTTGGTCAAAATAATAAGCAAAAACTAATCTAAAGCCACCAAAGTCTTTTATTGGCCACCACTTGAAATGGGACTATGGTGCTCTCTGCTGCTGTATATAGGTCTGCATCTCACGCAGATGAGTTCAGTGCTACATGATATAAAATTGTGGCATCCCTCTACTGCAGGGCACAACCGTACTGTTCTCTTGGGGGAGGCGTCACAGCAGTTTAAAAGAAAAAGTGATTTTTTTTCTGTACATATTCAGTTACTGCAAGGGGATTGTACCATTATCGCTGCAGTTTTCCTTTAAGGTGCTTTGGTATCAAGCAAAGCACCACCCCACAAAATTAGGTTCAGCTGAGGTGCAAAGTAGCTGCAGAGTAGCCACGTAGGTGTGCATGTTGTGAACAACATGCAGCGACGTCTGCACCTTTCCTTGCTCTTCCCTCCCTCCTTCCACTCCCACCCACAAAAAAACCGCAAGCAAACCAGGAACAAAACCCTAATAGAAAAATTCTGATTATTCGATTTAAAGGCCAGCATGCTCCAATATATATTAACATCTTAATGGGAAAGCTCTGCATGTATACATTTACTACTCTCTGACAAGAGGGAATTAAATGTCAGAAGGATTTGTAGCATCTATAATTGAATTGGTGCTGAGAAAAGCAAATCTTGAGGAAGAATAACATATTAGGATTAGCAAATAATGTGGCATTTTGTCAGTTCCTGCCATCTCGTCTGTTCCCTCTTCAGTAATAAAGTTGTGATTTCTTTTTTAATCATAGATATGAAGCAGGAATAGCTTGTGAATTGGAGAAAGCATTTTAAAGCAGATTCCGGTTCTTAAGGTCAAGTCTCTCCTTGGCACAAATTTAGGGAATGATTCCTTCCTCCGTAGACCCGACACTTTTTTTTAATTGCCAAAGAAGTAAAGAGTGACAGAAAATGAAACAGCCACTTTCATACTGACAGTGTACAAACTGATTCGCTTGGAGCAGTGTCCACAATTGCTGGAGACGGGCTCTGTCCAAAAGCTCCAAAGCTGCTGGCTTTGCCTTGCCTTCTGTGCTGGAAGGCAGAACTGGGTTGACCATGGGTAACTACCTTGGAGCATATGGGGTTTGATGAGGTGGAGAGGAGGTGTTGAGGGAGCACTATCTAGCAAAGGGGATGGCGCTGGAATAGCTTGCCTAGGGAAGTTCCATCGCTGGAGAGCTTTATTTAAGAGTTGGAGCGAGAAAGCAGCGTTAGCAGTGCTGCAGGCATCGCTGACTTTGCTGTGGAGGTCGTGGTCTCTGGCCTCTCAAGGTGTCTCGCTTTTACTTTCCTGTTTAAAAAGAAGAAAAAATACGTGAGAGGCCTAAAAAATTCCTATCAAAGATTTGAGTTTCTCTTAAAAATTGTCAGTAGTTCTCTTTGGAGAGCAAATAGATGCAACACAGAAAAGATACAAGGCAGATTTGATTTTGCTAAGTCAAAGTGTTTTAATGCCTGTAAATGTGGCATATTTATTGTAAGACAGTCCTCCTGCCCGTTTCACCTGCAGAGGTGAGTTTAGGATGTTACTGCAGGTCCCCAGAGCTGGCAGGCTCTCGCTCCCTGTCGCCAGCAAGCCATGCCACGATCCCAGCCTGCAGCAGGCTGTATGTGTGCCACAGCATCGCTCTGCCCCATAGAGTAGCCTTGAGGTCAAAAGTTGTTAGGAGCGAAAGTCAGCACGTGAATCTCTTTTGTCGTCGGGCAGTGCTGCTGCAATTAAGGCACACAGCACTGCTGGGGAATCCCCGTCCCGCGCATTTGCAGAAGAGCTGTTCCTTTTACTTGCTGATCTAATACAAATATCAATATATGACCTTTCAAGTTAAGACCGCTGTCAGCTGCCTCACAGACTTGATATTAGATGGTTTGCAACCACTAGACATCCTCAGAAGTGATTTAATTTTTACATAGTGTGCAAGCTTGAAGCTGAGCTATGTAGCCATGCACATCATAAAATAAACTTGCGGCTGGCACCTCGCAGAGGTCTTTTTTAACAGAAATAATTAAGAAAAATGGCCCTGCTTGTCCCAGTAGACGAAATCATAACTCTGGCCAGAACGGTTTGCCACATTTTATGCAAAAGTCCCTTCTTGGGGAAACACTGTCTCCCTGCTCTCAACTTGATTGCAAATGGAAGGGAAGCCATGACGGATGTGTTGGGTGCGAGGCTTCGGCACAGTTTCCAGTAACCCATCTCTGCTGGCTCTGCAGCTGCAGGTCGGTGTGACAGCACAGCGGCTGCTGCTGCCAGGAGGAGCACACCAAGGTTTTGTCTTTCCAGAACTTTAATTGATGGTGATTACAAAAAAATGCCTCTTGATGCAAAATCCTGCTCAAAGCACATTATAGAGCCATAACTCAGTGTGTTTGTTCCCCTCAGCTGTTCCAGATGTCAACAAGACATTCATCCTCCCAGTCTGGGATGCTGCTGTCTCCTCCTTAGTGCAGCCGAGTGGAACTGGGTGCTAAGTTTCTTAAAAAAAAAAAAAATGGAGTGGAACTTGTCTAAAGCAGCTGCTCCAGCGGATGAGCTGGGTTCGTTTGCTTTACAGAGATCTAAGTCCTTAAAGGCCCAGATTAACCGAGCTACAAGCAGCAGTGGGAAGGCTGTGTTTGAGCGGTAGCTACCCAGAACAACCAGGATTGCTGATTTTTCCCCAGCTGCTGTTCTGGGCAGCCAACAGAGTCTTTGCCCAGGAGAGGTGGTCTGCTTGGCACACTGCTGCGCTTCCCTGGGCATTTTTCCCATCGGCAAGCAGGGATGTTCGGCTGCTTGCCAAAGCAGCAAATGCAGGGAAGTGTTCACAGTACGGGCTGTTTCTGCTGGAGATGATGTAGAAAGTCCCTCCCTTTAACGCGCTCTCAGATTCCTCTGGTATGCTCTTACCGCAGTGAAATGACTGGGATGTAGATGATGTGGCAGGGGTTGCTTTTGGTTTGCAGGGGGATCTTTTTTGGCCCCAGTTTTTAGCTTATCAGCTAAGCTGATGAAAGGGACTTTCTGATCATGGCGCTGATGGGCTGCTCTCTGTTGCATCCCTTAACATGCCCCTCACCCTGACCCAAATCAGCCCAGGCGTCCCACTGCCTGTGCCTGACTGAGCTCCTGCTTTTTGGAAGTTACTCCAAGAAGCACTGGCAGGGTTTTTTCTTAAATTGTTTTAATTAAAAGGCGCTTTATGGTGCTCTCAGTCACGAGTTATTTACTTAGGTCCCTCAGTCCTTAATCTTGAAGCAGAATTGGAAATATCGATAGAAAGTGTAAATCCCGGGCTGCTGCTCGAAAGCTTTGTATCAGGTTGCAGCTCAAAAGAGCACCATTACCTTTAGCTGTCACGGATCTGTACGCTTGATCGATAAACTTCAAATATTATTAGAGGTGGAGGCTTCAGAGATTTGCTCTGTTCTTTGGAGGGAGACGGAGATAAATCTTTCTTAAAAATTGACTTGCATTTGCACTCTCAGTCTTCCTGGCAAAACGCATTTCTCTTAGGTGTCTGGGCAACTGCATGCAGGACAGATTTATAGGCCGTGTGCTTCTTGTAGTGAAAGATTTAAATGGTAAATCCTTCACATATGACTTCACAAATCATGTAAAGTTAAAAGATTTTTACTGTTTCTGTTGCTGCTGTGCTTAAATTGTAAGGTATGGCCAGTAAATCATTTTAATGGAGGTGTCGCGCTTGACTCAATAAAAAAAAGAGACAATGGTTTAGCTTCTATTCCAAAATGTTAATGTATTAATCAACGGGAGAATAATTGTTTTTTACTACGTTATAAATCCCAGTTGCCATTAGGATTGCAGTGAGGGTTGATGTAGCTGCATTCCTAAATTAAAATTGTTTACACTGCTATACATTCATTTTACATGGCTATAGCTCATTCTGGGTTCATTTCGGAGTTGTTCCTCCACCAAATAAGTCATTCCTCTCCTGAGTGACGGCATCCTAAGGGAGAGGCACTTATAAAAGAAAACTAATTGTAAGGTGAGGAGTTAAATAAACAAAATAAAGCCATTGGAGGCACTGTACCATTATTGCTCTCTATCTGCTTTTGAAGAGGTTTTTATAGTTTGGGTTAAGAGGTTGTGTCTCTGGATGTCGTGGACTGCATTGAACAGCAAAGGTTGTGTTTAATGACATAATCTTGTTGGGTTGGGGGAGAGGACGGCTGCAAACTCATTGACCGTGCTGGGCCGGTTGGTTTTTGGTCAAGGAATTTTTTGGGCTGAAGTTGACATATTTTCAGCAGGGCACTTGTTCATGATGTTTCTGCAGAGCTAACGATTCATATTCCCATATCATACTGCTATTCCCTGTGCCCCCATCCCCTGGGGAGGTTGAAATTTGGGGAGCATTCTAGGGAAATTGCCCAAAACAGGTACCCACCACCGACTCCCATCTCTCCTCTCCTCTCCCTCTCCCAGTTGTCTTCCACGTGCATAGTCGTAGTGCTGCTGCTTATAGTGGAAAACACCTTGCAAGTTGAGCGGCCAGATCAGTTCGGCTCCAGACAAAGGTCCCGTGCCCGAACTCATCTGTCTAGATAGCTCCGTGCTTTACCCCATTTCCTTTTGAGAGCGCAAGGGTGGCTTTTCCAATCCAGAGAGCAGCTGCAGCCAGAACCTTCAGAGTGCATTGTATTAAGTCCCAAATTCTTATTCCTCTTCTGATCTCAACAGATTCTCGTGCAGGTGAGGAAGGGGCGATACGGAGCGTGGACCATGCGGTGGTTGGTGGCGTCGTGGCCGTGGTCGTGTTTGCAATGCTTTGCCTGCTCATCATTTTAGGGCGATATTTTGCCAGACATAAAGGTAAGACAAAGACCGAAACTGGAAAATGAGAGGACACGGCACGTGTGTCTCTTTGCTCGTGATGTTGTCCTGTCTGACGCGAGAGACCCCTTTGTTACTCTGGAAGAATGTCTCTCGAAAGCCCTTTGAATTGGGGGAAGGAGGAAGGCTGGAGCAGCCCACCGATGTTCTGTGCACCTGGGGCTTAGAACAGGAGGACAGCAGTTTACCCCAGACACAGACTTAACCCAACGTGCCGCTGCTGAGGCTTACAGGTGCCGGTGCTGGCGGAGGCACCATCCCTTCCAAGGCACCTTGGCAGCAGGATACCTGACAAACGAGGTATAGTCTCTTTCGGGAGCAGCGTTTCACATCATGGGGCATGCTTGGCTCTTCACAAAGAGCTCCATTGCCCACTACCTCCTGTTACAGTCCCGGGTATTACAGGCAGTCACCGTGTATAACGATGCACGGAGCTACACCAGCTCAGCTGGGCTTGGCCCCGAGGCTTGCAGCCAGCACATCAGCACGCAACTTAAAACTGAAATTTGGAAGTCACTCTGCAAAACCTGATTGACCTGAGCTTGATTTAGTATATGTGGAAAAGCTGACAGAGGATGAGAGGCTGGTCACAACCGCAGCCGGGATGGAGTGAATAACGTTGAGGCAAGAGGCAAAAGGGAAAAAAAAAAAAAAACCACCACCTAAAGCGCATTAGCAGGGAGAGAAAGTGGGGGTGAAAGATTTGTCTCCTTTAGGTAAAGCATATAAAATGCAATTTTACCAATAGTTGTGCACTTCTGGGAGGGGGAAATGGTTGTGACTTAATTTCTTTTCCAAGTAAGACACAGCAGGGAGCTACGCACCGTCACCGGTCAGAGCAGGGACATCGGTGTCCGGTGCGTGGTCAGCCCTGGGGGTCTCCAGCACCGGCTGCTCCTGGAGGAGCCGAAGCAGGGAGCTCCCACACTGGGCGGCATCAGCCTGGCTTGTTGCTGGCATTATTTTTTTCATGCCCAGCCTAGTATTTTCGTGTTTTACATTTTGGGGTTTTTTTTTCCCTTTCCGCTCACGGCTTCGTTGCTCACACTCTGAGCACCTTGCAGAGACCTCCGACGAGTCATGCAACCTCCTGCTTCCCTTCCAGGTACATACTTCACTCACGAAGCCAAAGGAGCAGATGATGCGGCCGACGCAGACACAGCCATCATCAATGCAGAAGGGGGACAAAACAACTCCGAAGAAAAGAAAGAGTACTTCATCTAGAGCAGCCTTGGTTTCTGTGAGGTGTCCAACCGTGGACGGTTACTACTGGCCCTATTTAAATGCTAAAGAGACAGTGATATTGGAAGTTGCAACCAGCTTGTGTCTTTTTTTTTAAAGAAAAAAAAGCAACTGGGTGGAGAGTCGTGAGGCTGGGAGGGTCCGGGATTTGCTGTGTAAAAATATTCCTCGTAAAGTACACTCTGCTGTTCGACACCTCAGTTTGTTTGGGTTTCCTTTTTTTGGCCAAGTCCAGCTTGGATTTAGTTTAGTGAAGTCATTTGCAGAAGATTCTGTGCCTTGTTTAATTTCTGTTCGTTCGGGTCGGGGGGAGGCTGGGAAGAAGAGGGGCTTCTGTGCATTAGTTCCCTTCGGGTTTCTGTGGCTCTTCGTTTCCCCTTCCCTGTTCTGTTTCCGGAGTTGCCTGCTGCGACCCCTTGGAGTAGGTGGGTTTCTTTGAAGGTGTTTCTCTTTCTTTCTCTCGTCACCGTTTTCCGTTCAGAACTCGAGCTCATCGGAAGAGAACCAGCACATTTTAGATTTCGTAGCTTGCAGTTCAGTGTGCCCATGTCCCATTCCTTCTATCGTCGTAAAGGCTTGGATGAACAAACGGCGAGAACCCGTTTGTGGCTGCCCGTGTTTCAGGTGCTTTCGATGGCGGCGACTAGGAAATAGGCTGGAGCTCGGCAAAGGTGCTCTTTGGCGGCAGGGAAGCAGGACCGGGGGGTCATCCTCCCGGGAGGGATGCTGAGCCCACCTTTCGGGCCCTGCGGGCCTGGGGACTGCTCCCAGCCGGGCTCGGGAGGGACTTTGGCTCTGGCCCTTTGCCTTGCACGCCGCTCCCGTCCCGCTTCCCTGCCTGGGCCGACCTCTCCCTGCTTTGCTAGAGAAGGCGAAGCCCTGCCAGGGGGTGGGAGGCTGCGAGCCCCCAGCTTTGGTCGTCCTCTCCCCTCCTTTTGCAGCTGCAGGACGCGGCGGGTTAAACGCCTCCCCCCCTTCCCCAGCGCGTGCTGGAGCGGAGACCCGGAGAGCAGCCGGACAAGCAAAACTGCCTTTTTTTCTACCCGCTAAGTAAAACGTGGGAATTCGTGCTAAAATGACAGTGCTAACTGACTTACAAAGCCATAGGTGAAAAGGAGAATCTAGGTCAATTAGAATCGCAAGTGACAGGTAGCAGACTGCAATCAGAAGCCGGTATTAAAATGATACATGCTGAATTTTTTTTTTGGTGAGTAATCTTGGATTTCGAGCGATACTTTTTTTTACTGTGTTTATGTGGAAAATGTATGCTGATTTATTTAAGGGAAGCATTAATCTTAGTGTCAGGTTGGGGTTTTTTTAGGGGTTTCGGGGGGAGTGTTTTCGTGCGGGTTGGGGTTTTTTTCTTTTTTTTTATTGTTGTTTTTGGCAGAACCATTACAATGCGGGAGTCCTTTGGGAATAGGATGGCCTGACAGCAGAGAGCGAGTCCATTCTCCAGCAGTATTCCGTCTTTCCCCTTCTTGTGAGCAGAACCTCGCAGAAATACCCTTTTTTTCCGAGCAAATTTTGTCGAGCGCAGCTCTTTTCTGAGCCTTCAGCACCATTGCCAAACCACATCATGGTGAGAAGCAGTCAGCATGTTGGAGTTCGGGGGGGCTTTTTTACCCGTCATCGGTCACGGGATCGGCATCCTGGTTTTGAGCAGCCCATCTTTGTTTTGGAAGTGTACCGTAGTGCAGTGTTACCGATGTAACTTTGACTTACAATGTTGACATGTCTCAGGTTCATGTGTTTTGATTGGTGTTTTCCGTCTCAGGTAGATTGCAAAATTTCGGCCCCACACATTGGAAAAAAAAAAAAAAAAAAAAAAAAAAACAGGATAAAAAACAGGAGATTACGAATTTTAGTTGTATATTGGTTTATGTATTTTTTCTTCAGTATACAGTGCACTGTTTGAAATGTATTGTTGAGTATTACTTTGTACAGCTTTAGATCATTAGGATTTTGAAGTGTGAAGAAAGAACAACCTTGTTTAAAGGAGTATTACAAATGAAGGACGCAGAACTGATGATAAACAACCTTGTTCTTTATTCACCTGGCCTTTTTATTTTTTCCCCTTAGGCCAGTTCTGTTTTAAGGTGTCCATGGAAGATGTTACAATGTAAGAAAATACATATCCATCTGCTCCCATTCACATTTTGTATTGGTTCATGTATACCATTTTTACAAAGGAAAAGAAGTACTATAAGATATCTGTCTTCTTAATAAAAAAAAATTAATGTTACAAAACTAAAGCTCATTTTGCACTCTTTATCCCCTGCCGTTACGGAGACCACAATTGTAGCGACCTTCACCCTCGGCTCACCCACCAGCGCGGTGCCGGGAGGAGGAGACGGTGCTCAGTGGGTAACACCACGGCACTGCCCACCCAGCCCACGGGCTTTGCCCTCCTCCCCTGCCCAGCTCCCCTGCCCGCTCTGCCGGACAGACCGGGACGGCGGATGCTCTGCTCCGACCCAGAGGGTACGGGAAGAGCCTTGCTCCTTGCCAAAGTCAGGCAAGGACAATGACGATCCAAGCAAGAGTGCCTGATGACGAGAAGGTCTGCACTTGCAAAGCACCTGCCTTGCCCCATCTTCAGTGCGTTAGATAAAGCTTTTTTGCCTCTCTTCAACAACGGGTTTCCATCCTTTGCCGAGGAGGATGCCACAGGGTGCAGAGGGGCTGCCTTGTGCAGGGAGGTCCCCGCCGCAGCTCTGCCAGGTGGGCTTGCCCGCCGCCCGCAGCCCTTCCAACACGGCAGCGAGCTCCACTATGGGTTGTGGGTCTTCCCCTAGAGCAGCGAAATGCTGGCACCGCTTCTCATGCCCAGCACCATAGCTGTAAATCTCCCATAAGGGATATCGTCTCAGGTTAATTAATCTCCAGGCTTAACCTTGCTGTGAGCAGCTAGAAGTCCGGCCTGAGGTCGGCAGTGCTGCGATTGCATCTTCTAGTGCTGTTTATCCTGCATTGGTGTTTACTTAAGGCGAAAATTGATCTGTAACTGGTATTTCAATCTTCCCGAGCTGCTGTGGGGGCAGCCCGGTACCCAAACTTTTAATAGCAAATATTTAAATCCTGGGAGGGTAGGTGAGTGCTGAAATATGTGACCTCCTTTGCCCCATGCCTATCTCCAATTCAGTTCTGGCTGTTGCCAGATTTTCTGGCATCTCCTTTTAAAATGCTCAGGATTTCCCAATCGTAGTATGTGATGTCTGTTCGCCTTGAAACACCAAGTCCCAAGGACAAGTACTGCCACGCAGAAGCTGTTTCACCACTGCTCAGTCTCAGCGTAGCTATTGATGAACCCGGCGTTCGTTCCTCCTCCAACGTTGCCCTTAGCCGCATCTCCTGAAATCAGGTTACGAGGCAGCTGCAGCGCTGAAATTAGAAGCATCCATCTTTTATGTTTTGGACAAAGGAGGAGGAGAAAAACAATTGCTTTCCGCTGACGAGATACTACTGAGAGATACACTGCCATAACGAGTGTCTGTAAACAAACTGTACTATACTGCGAGGAGCTGTACGTATTTGAGCTCCTGTGCCGAAGGCGGCTGCTGTTGCTGCTCGAAGGCCAGTGTTGAGCTCTCTCCAGCATCTCTCGCTGCATTTAATATAGTTATGTGAGAAATAACATTTTTCTGGGAGAAATCATGACACTGAGGAAAAAACTGTAGGGCAAACCAGAAAAAGCAGCTATTCTTTTTCTTCCCTGAAACGGATATGAACATAGGTAACTTTGATAGTTAGCATGGTGATTTTGTAATTACTTCAGTGCATGAGAGAATTTAAAATCACGGGTCCCAGATGCCGGCTCGTGAAGCTTTCCTCTTCGAGCCAGAGCTAATTGCATCACACCCTTGTGGTGTCAACAGCAAAGTTATGGCATTAGCTATGCAGTTGAATTGCTTTCCCACCCAGTCCTTGTTCCCCTTTCCCTGAACCACAACCGGAGTTATTCTGCACTCAGTTTGTCATGAGATGCCTCGAGTATCCCTCTCTGCATGTTGCAAAGGGGAGAGGTTCTTTGTACGTCCTAATTGGACGTGTTGTGCTGCTCGAGTCGGCACACCTCCCCGAGGCCTTGGAGCCATGGTTAACGCTGTGGTCCCTCTCTAGACACAATCCTGCTGCTGCTGCTGCTCAGTTGCAGTAATTTTCAATAATTTAGTATGCTCAGAGGCAATCTGCAGCATGCTGTGGCAAAGCCAAGCCTCCAGGAGCAGAGCACAGCCACGGCAGGAGCTGGGCAGAGGAGAGGGCAGAGAGCCTTTGGTTATGACCGCTTCTCCTTTCCAGAGTAGAAGGGGTGAAAGTCTGATTGAACATTAATAGCCTATTAAGAATCCAGTTGTGAATGCTGCTTGGTGAAACTGCTGCCAGCCACAGCTTTTGCGAGAACAAATCAGCTGCGTGTTGGAGGTTCATGATTTATTTATGGCCACGTGTCGCTCGCTCATCCCATCCTCGAATTGGGCCATTCCTCGTTAGCTGTGGGTTTGCCGGCGCCTCTGCGCTGCGAGGGCAACGCGGTTGCTTTGCTCTCAGGCTGTTTCCCTTCTGTGAGTGCTGAGCAGGGCCCCTGCCGAGGCTTTGGATCCCCGTCCTCGAACGGCCCAGCCGTTTCCCCAGTCGTCTGCCTATAACCTTGTCCATTTCGTGCCGCAGTATCCATCTGTTTGGGAAAGAAACCCAAACAGGGAGTGCTGCTTGCAAAGATCACAGATTTACTTAGCTGCAGCTTCAAAAGGTTCTTATTTCTACTGCGTTAACGTCTCTGGGAGTGAGGAGGTGTCTGCGTGGACGACCGGGGCTTAACCCTTCTTCTCAGGCAATGCAGACTTCTGCCAGCATCCCACAGCTCACTGTACAGTTACACTGCAAGCAATTGCATCAGCCACTTGTCCGGCTATTGCGCACCATGCAGAGAACTAAATCTGCTCAGAAACTTCCTTGAGTTCATTTGCTAGGCCTTAATAAGCTGCAGCGGTTCTCCCCGTGTCCTGGATCTCACACCCAATCTCCCTCCTTTCGTCCTCTGCCATGTAGAGCTTGCCAGCCAAACAGGCTTTGCCGTTGAGCATCCAAGCAGGTCTCAGCTTCTAACGAGCTTCCTATGGCCTCAGGTGTTCTCAGACGTTAAAATAACAAAGTCTGAAATTGATCCTATCGGTGGTCCACATCTTTCAGGTTTTTGAAGGTTTTCTTCCCATTTCCTACTTGTACCTAGACACTTTGGTTCTTTGCTCTTCTAGCCCTCCTTAGGCAATACAAATAGATGAAGAGAAGCCATAAATGTAACATTCAGAATCTGTTTCTTGACAAAATGGTTTGCATTTTTTCAGACATCAAGACGCAAAAACATTGATTGGAAGGCTGAAAAGACTATCATTAAAAAAACCAGACTTAGTGAATCTAATATCCCTAGTGACCAACTGCAGAAACGACTCCCTTTGGGTGTGACCCTACAGCTGTTGAGCCTTTTTCATTAAAAAGACCCGAGGGCACTTCTATGTTTTTATGAAATTTAAGAAAATGGTCATTACTTCAAATAAGAATGTAGTGTTTGCCCTGAACTTAACGTTTTCACAAGCTGCCTAAGCCATTTGATCCTAATTGCACAATT